TCACCAGGCCTTTCTTCCTAGTCCATCTTAGTCTAGAAGCTCCACTGGAACCTGTTCAGCATCGTAGCAACACGAAAGCCCCCACTTACAGACAGTTGGTGGCTGCCTGTGAGGTGCATTGGCTGGGAATTGAACCCAGATCTCCCCCATGAAAAGCAAAAATTTTACCACTGAACAACCAATGCTCCCTTATTTTAGAATTTAGAGCAATAAATCTCCCACTTCAGACAGAACTGGAAGAATGAAACATTTGTACAAACAGTGCTCTGATGTTGAGTTGAAAAACAGTCTCCAGAGGAAAATAATTTCAAGTAAACAGTGATTGATTCTTCCCTTCTTGTTGGTTTATTACAGTTTCTCAACCACAGCACTGTTGACAGATATTTCTTTACTGTGGGGAGCTGTCCTGTGCCTTGCAGGATGTTTAGCAGCATCCCGGCCTCTAGGCACCAAATGCGAGTAGCATCCTTCCCACCCCTCCCCCCACCCCAATTGTGACAACCAAAAATGACTCCAGACATTGCCAAATGTCGCCTAGGTGGAGGAGATAAAATCACTTGCAGTTGAGAATCACTGGCTTATTAGATAGTTTGTGTAGAAATAATGGTACTTAAATAATGACACTAGCCTTTCCCCTATCTGTTAAGAGAATGGAACATTCAAACTTCATCTCCTCTGCCCTCAGTTTCCCAGTGGGTTCAACCCAAAATAAAACTTGAGGGAGAACCTGTTTCTATTCCGGATTCTTCCCAACCCACGCCAAGTGCTTCTCCAACATTGTTGTTAGGTGCTGTTGAGTTGATTCTGATTCACAGCAACCCCATGTGACCGAGTAGAACTACCCCATAGGGTTTTCTAGGCTGTTATCTTTACAGGAGCAGATCGCCAAGTTTTTCTCCCTGAAGCTGCTGGATGGGTTCAAACCTGCACCAGGGCTCCTTTTAACACTTTCTTTCCCCTCCTCAAATTGACTTCCTCCAGTAAATCTTTCCCTAAAGAGAGCATTAAGGATTATGCATGAGCATAAGGATTGAGTATTGTAAACATCCCAAAGAAAATCTATGACTAGGAGGAAATTTTGAATACTTTCAGGTAAAAGAGCCTAAACGGGCAGGACCCTCCCCAGGTCTTTAATTTTTCTTGATACAGATTGGTTTCAGCCATCCCCCACTCAAGAAATTAATTTGCCAGTCTGACGGAGCCATTATGTGTGGGGTCACTTTCCCGATGGAAGTTCCTAGAAGCATATCTTGTAGCTGTGCAGAGCACTCTAAGCAGAAAGTGAGAAAGGACCTAGTTCTGGAGATAACAGTCCCATGGCCACTGTGACTAGTGAGCCTGCTGACAAAGCTTGGAGACTGGATCAAAGACCGGGGCTGCTGCATCTGCTTTTCCTGAACGGACTCCAATCCCCGTCAGGAGTGAGAGTCCTCACCCAAGGCGCCTGAGGCAAAGGAGCCCTTTCGAGGCTTTGGTGTAGGGGTTTCCAAGGGGTTTCATGGCAGTCTGTGGGAAGAGACCACGCCATTGCCATTCCATTGCAGTCACTGTGTAGGGAAAAATCAGACTTGTAAGGAGGACATTGGCATGTAAAGAGGACAAAGACATGACGTAAATAAAGAAAATTGACTTATGCCACTTTGGCTCTCAAATCCATTAAACCAAATTACAACTCTCAAAAGACTCTCTTGAGTCCAGATGTAGGGTGGATCAAGTAGAGATCAAGTAGGGATCGGTGGCAGCGTTGCCAACAGCCTGGGCTTGGAGTAGGAGATTAGAGTGAAAGAGAGAGATGAAAAGATGAAATTCTGATGACATGTCTCGGTCAAATAATCCCCAAATAGTGAACAACAGAGGAGAAGGAATTACATCTTTTTTGTTTTTGCCGCTGGAGAGAAAAGAGTGCAGATGATAAAGGATCAGAATCCTCAATTCTGCAATCGAGCAGTGAGAGGAGCCCTACCGGCCTTCAAACGTCCGAGGTGAGTTGAGGTGAATTGAAGGCAATGACTATGGAATGACAAAACCAAAGAAGAAAGCGAGGCAGTGGCAGAAAAGAAAGTATTGAAAATTTGCTGGCTGGAAAATTAGTCTCATGCTAAAGAAAAAAAAGAGCCCTATTATAACAGCAAGCTGTTTCCTGTTGTAGCTACACTCATGCCCTGGAGAGATTTATGAAAACAATGGCAGAGAGGAGAGCGTGACATAATTGGAAGCAGGCGGCCTGGAAACAGGGTTACATCTAGCAGCAGCTTTAACAAACCCTGGTCCAAATAACAAACCCTGGGTTCAAATAAGTTGGCACTTGTGTTTACATAAGACGCTACTTCTGTTTCAGAGCTGCATGTTGACACAGCAGCCTAAATAAGTGCCTGAGACTGGCAGAGGGAGAAAGCTCTCTGCTAAGACTCAGAGACCCGGGGACAGGTTACTGATGTGACTTAGATGAGTCATTTTACCTCTCTAGATCTTTATTTTCATATGAAGTGAAAACAAATTTGAATAGAATAGTGAGCATCCTTTTTTGAATAAGGGCCAATTCAGGAAAAATAAAACTATATATAGACCTTTTTTTTTTTCTTTTCTGGGAAGCAGCAACCCAGATGCAGCTTCATCCTGAAGTTAGATTTTGGGCTTCAGTTTGCCCATCACTGGACTAGACCATTACTAGGTTGGTTCAGATGAATAGGTCCTTGGTTCTCTGATGGAAGTGACTTGTTGACACTCCTTTTTTTTTTTTTTTTTTTTAACATTTTATTGTGCTTTAGGTGAAAGTTTACATGGCAAATTAATTTTCCAGTCAATGATTCTTACCGAAATTGTTTCATGATCTTTGTTGCAATCCCTGCAATGTGTCAGCACTCTCCCCATTTCCTCGCTGGGTTCCGTTTCCATTAGTACGGTTTCCCTGCCCCTTCCTGTCTTTTCATCTTTGGTTTTGGGCAAATGTTGTCCTTTTGGTCTCATATGGTTGATTGTTCTAAGGATCACATTCTTTACAGATGTTGTTGATTTTATAGCCCCATCTATTATTTGGCTGACTGGAGCCCTAGTGGAAACTCGGTGGCCTAGTGGTTAAGAGCTATGACTACTAACCAAAAAAGGTCCGCAGTTTGAATCCACCAGGCGCTCCTTGGAAACCTCATGGGGGCAGTTCTACTCTGTCCTATAGGGTCGCTATGAGTTGGAATCAACTTGAGGGAACAGGAATGGGAGCCCTGGTGGCACAGTGGTTAAGAGCTCGGCTGCTAACCAAAAGGCTGGCAGTTCGAATCCACCAGCTGCTCCTTGGAAACCCTATGGGGCAATTCTACTTTGTCCTATAGGGTCACTATGATTAGGAATTGACTCAACGGCAACAGGTTTGGTTTTTGTTATTTGGCTGAAAGGTGGCCTCTGGGAGAGTCCATAGTTTCAAGTTAGAAGATTGTCTTAGGGCAATAGTCTCTGCCCCTAAGAGCAAATAATCATCAAGGAGGGTGGGCCATGCCTAAGCAGTGGGGTTCAACTCAGGCAGATCAAGATCATTTCCCTTCTCCCCTGGTGGGACCACTAGAGTCTCTTAGGGGCCAGGTCTCCCTCTGAAGTACCCAAATCCACTAGGAAGACTCAGCCTTCCCTAAATATACACGTTCCAGAGTTCATTGGGTAAATTAGCAGATGTCGCCCTCAGGAGATCCAGGGTTATGCTGATGAGTTAGGCCTTTGGCGGTGGGACCCTGTACCCAGGATGAAATAAGTCACATCATTCAGCAGAGAAGCCTGCAATAGCTCCCTTGAGCATTCCCTGGTGGTATGCCTTGCCCTGTTCAGACTTTCTTTAACTACTCAAAATCTTCCTGACACTGGGTTATAGGATCCCAGAGTCAGCCCAGTCTTGTTCTGCTGCTATAACTTACATGCCCTGATTGCTTAGTTTGTTAATGACGCTACCTGTCTGCCCTCAAATTGCAATTGATCAACTCTACATGTACCCCTGTGGACCCTTGTAAGTCTCCCCATCCCTACTGAGACTTCTGGTCAACCTAAGATAGAGAACCTTCATTTTCCAAAGGAAAATTGTAGGTACAGAGAAACCAAATGATTTGTTTAGGGAAATGGGGAAAGAGCTAGAAATTTAGCTGAGCCAGAATTAGAACCTTCAGATCACAATCCCATGTAAAATATAGTAATTAGCAAGACCTTCATTCTTAAATAAAATGTTGCTTTAATAAAATACTGCACATATGACCAGGATGGTTGGTGTGAATAAGAACGTGCTCTTGGTTGGCTTGGAAGATGGACAGGAGTCATATATACCCTCCAGGAATCAAAAGTAACGTTGGAGTGACCTTTTGGAGAGAGGAATCCTGACCCCTGTCCTTGCTCTTTTGCCAAGATTTCAGAGTGTCAGTGAAATGTACAAAAGCACCACCACGGAGTCTCCCATTAGGCATCTGAGGATCCAGCAAGGTGGGTGTGGAGCCAGTGGAAAATTCTGGGGAGAGCAGAGCTGGGCTAAGGGGGAAGATCTAGTGCGATAGAGGAGAAACCGACTATGCCTGAATGTTCTGACCTAGAACAGTATCTAGGTCACTGCAGCCATCCAGAAATCCAAGTAAGTACAATAACCATGGATGTATGATAGAAAAATGCAAGTAAGAAAGAAAATTACCCCATTAACCACCTACTAATTATACTTCAAGTTGGTCCCCCATTATTGAAAATGCCTTCCTTAAAGATTCAAATATAACTGAAGCCATTTAGATATTGTTTAGCATAAAATTTGCATGATATGTAAGATACTAAAAAATTCTCCTTTATCCATCATTGTTTCCCTATCAAATCCACTACTCCTTTTTCCTTTCCTTGGTCAGGTTGAGCACAGGTAGAAAATTCTCAGTTGAAATTCCCAATCTGGGGTTGTGAGTTGGCCTTACCTGGAGGTCTTGCTTTTGTATATCTGACAGAAGAAGAGCAAGTCTTCAGGAAAAAAAAAAAAAAAATCCAGAACTGACCCAACTTTTAACAGTCAAGGCTCTCTCAAATAGCCTCTTTAGCTTTTCAAAAAACATCACCCAGTAGAATTAGAATTGCAAAAAGGGGAGGATCGCCTGAGCTGACTCTAGCACCTCTGGCCTCAGAATGGGCTGGTAGACGACCCTAGCCCCCCTCAATCCCTGGCAGAAGTCATTGACTTTAAATACTGAAGACTCCTTGTCCCTTACAAAGACTTATTGTCCGGCTGGCCCAGGACCCAGGTGAGGCAGTAGGGGATGAGACTGGTAGATGCCAGGGGCACTGCTGCACTCTTGCAGAAGGACAGGACATAGAAGAGCAGCTCGATTTGGGATGGGGGTTTCAAAGAGTCAAAGAGGTGCAGGAAGACCAGGGAGGCCAGGATGCAGCTGAGGCGGAAGGGAAGCCACTTGCTGAACTTGCCCTTGCAGCTCTCCCTGTACATACTGGAGTTGAGAGCCAGCCCCAGGCCAAAGAGGGTCCCCAGGTTCCTGAAGAGGCTGGCAAAGGGTGTGCTGTCGATTAGGACCCATTCTGGCCGTTCGCACCATCTCTGGGCTTTCTCCAGAGTCCACAGGAGGTCTACACCCAGCCCATTTAGCAGCAAGTAAAATCCAATGGCAAAGCTGAACAGGAAGAAGGTAATGAGAGAATATTTCTTGAGACTGGCATTGTAGATGCTCTGGATGTGGTGGAAAGTTTCAGCAACAGCAATGCCTGTGTGGAGAAAAGAACGACATGTCATTCTGAACCTTCAGCTAGAGGTGGGTTTGGAGTAATGGATGACATGTCATTTGTCCTGCCATTGTGGAATTAAGTCACAACTGCCATGTGAGAGGTTACCTGGTTTACTTCCATGTGTGACTTCAGTCCGTCCTCAGCTACAAACTGTTTTGGATAGAAGGGTCATGTCTCATATATCTTCCCACTACCTGCAAGTTTCCTGTGGGGGTGGGAAGTCCTCCTGTCTCTACTTGAATGTCTTCAGGGGCAGAGAGCTTACACTTACCGGGCAGCTCATTTCGTCTTTAAATGGATTTTATTGTTTAAAAGTTCTTTCTCATGCTGAGCTGAATTCTATCCCTCTCAAATGCCATCTGTTGGTCTCAGATCTTTCTGCAGGAGTTAATTGTCAGTCTAGTCCCTTCCTACCACATTTGAAGATAGTTACTCTCTTCTCTAACGTACACATTCGGCCTTTCATGTGACATTTGGCTTCCGGGTTCTTCTCAAACACAGACCAAACCCGTGGCGGTCGAGTCAATTCTGACTCATAGCTACCCCACAGGACAGAGTAGAACTGCCCCATAGGGTTTCTAAGGCAGTAATCTTTACGGAAGCAGACTGCCACACCTTTCTCCCTCAGAGAGGCTGGTAGGTTGGAACAGATGACCTTTCAGTTGGCAGCTGAGTGCTTAACCACCGCGCCACCAGAACTCCTTCTCAAACATAGAACCTAAGACTAAATGTTGTGTTACTTTTGTGGTCACCGTGAAACCATTCTCTCCCTTGTTCTCAACATGCTTCTTTGAATACTAAGGAGTTCCACTCTTAATGATCTCTGGGGAAAGCAATTCCACAAATTCCCTGAAATCATATATTCCACTGCCTCCCACACAGTCAAGAAAGTACCCCTTACACTTAACCTAAATCTTTTCTGCCCCTTATTAACTGGATCTAAGAAAAAGATACTCAAAACTCTGAACCTACAAAAGAGACCAACTGTAGGTATCTGCAGTACTAGGTTTGCAAATGAATGTATTTCCGAGGACAAAGCTTTCCTAGGACATTTGTGTTACATTGTTAAATTTGGTAGATTACTTTAAAACTAAATTAGGGGCCACTTCCAGCGGAAAATCAGTAAGAAATAAAGAATGTAGAAAACTTGGGGGTTTCAAACTGATTCGATTGGGTAAATTAATTAGACGTATTACACCTTTTCTGGAACACGCTTCATTGTGCCATTTCAGTACTTCTATAAAAATTAATCATTTCAAATTTTCCACCCTTGACTTTCACCCACTGAAGTGCTAACAGCATTAATTACAAACAGAACATGGCTGGAATGCTGGAATTTTGTGACTAGGGAGAAACTGGGTAGTAGGGGGCCGGGGGAGGGAGTTGGAGCAGCTGATACCTGAAAAGACTCCTGCAACAACCTGATGAGGGAAATGAGCAGCAAGGTAGATTCGAGACAGACAGACGTTCAGCTGCACGGCCCAGAATCCCAACCACAAAATGACGTTCAAGCACCTGCAGTGGAAGAGACAACTATCACAGAACCTGGATGCAGAATCTTCAGCAAAGAAAACATCCCTTGCAGGAATGTTGGAGCCTGGCAAACTTAGGCTCCATCAGTAAAATTTTTTGTAAAGCTCAAATCTCCAAGATCCAGAGCTGAAAGACAGCCTGTGACAAGCAGTGGTGAAGCCTCGTGTATGTGATTTTACCCGTTGTTTACAGATACTGTCTGTAACTCTTTCATTCTTACCTAGCTATTTTAACTATTTGTTAATTAAGGATTTGCATAGTGGCTGCATACCCAGAGATCCCTGTAGTCAGAATGTACGTTTCTGTTTCTTTGTTTATTTGAAGCCTAGATGGCAAGTCTGTGGTTGTTACAGAAACAGATTTTTAATTTAATCCTGCCATTACCTCATTACCTGATCTTGAGAAGTTCCTTTAATTCATTAGGCCTTGTTTCCTTATCTGTTAAATAAAGGTGCACTGATGGGTCCCTTCCAGCTCTAACATTCTGTGACTATGATATTCACCCTCAACAGAAGTGCCAGGACTCATATCAGTGCAACCCCAAAGAGTCAGAATGGGCTGGGGGACTGTGAGGGAGAGCATGGCTATGTCAGCTACAGGGAGAGCTACCTCTTGCCCTCCACCAGACACACTGCAGTGGTGAGTCCTTACCGTAATCTGTAGGTCGGTTTTTTCTTTCCTCGAAAGATAGAGAGGGTGGATGTGACCATCACGTAGTATACACCAGCTGTACCCATGGCATGGCCAGAGGGACTCCCTAAAGAACAGGAAAGAGACAGGTGGATGAAAGGTGAAAAGGTCTCCATCTGGGAGACTGCCAGGGGGTGTCATCTATCCATCCATCCCCCATCCATCCTTCTATCCTTCCTTCCATCCCTCCTTTCATCCATCCACCTATTCATCCTTCCATCTATGCACCCATCTTGCCATCTGTTCATTTACCCATTAACCCCCGACTGGTGGTCAAGGAAGGAATCCCTGAAGAAGGGACCAAGTATGAGACATGAAATTGAGTGAAAAGTGAAACCAAACCAAACCCATTACTTGCAACACCATGAGGGTGACTGAACGAGTTGATATTCCTATTACGTATTAAAAAATTAAATCTATCATTTGACTTAACAATACCTATCTGACTATAACTAATAAAATGCAGACAGAGTTGGGATGGGACAGTCAGCTCAGGGGAGACATACCCATGAACCAGGCAACTGATCAGGAAAGCCAGGGGCTCAGGTCTCTACCACTTTCTCTTCTCTGGGCAAAGGGCCATGGTGCAGTTACTCTCACAAACTGTTTGCCTGTGGGGTGCCATTGCCTCCCTGGTACTAGTAGTTTGGTTTCTGGAAACATCAAGTGGATTTCTGAAGCAACAATAATATGGCTACTCAGCATCTAAGATACTCCACTGGTTGCACCCCTTAGGGAGCAAGGGAGAATGAAGAGAACAGGACACAAGGAAAAGATTAACCCAAAGGACTAATGGACCACAGCTACCATGGCCTCCACCAGACTGAGTCCAGTATAGCTAGATGGTGCCCGTCTACCACCACTGACTGCTCTGACCGGGATCACAAAAGAGGGTCCTGGACAGAGCTGGAGAAGGATGTAGAACAAAATTCTAACTCACAAAAAAAGACCACATCTCCTGGCCTGACAGACTGGAGAAACCCTGAAGGTATGGCCCCCGGACACCCTTTTAGCTCAGTGGTGAAGTCACTCCTGAGGTTCACTGTTCAGCCGGAGATTGGACAGCCCCATAAAACAAAACAGGACTAATGAGGCACAGCAGTCCAGGGACAAGGACTAGAAGGCAGGAGAGGACAGGAAAGCTGGTGATAGGGAACCCGTGGTTGAGAAGGGACAGTGCTGACATGTCATGGGGTTGTTAACCATTGTCATAGGGCAATATGTATACTAACTGTTTAATGAGAAACTATTTGTTCTGTAAACCTTCATCTAAGGTACAAAAAAAACAAAAAGAATTATCTATGTGAGATCAAATTGACAACAGCAACTTGAAAGGTTTGATGGGAAGCCTAGGGGACAGTGAGTTGAAGATAATGGTGATGGAATAATTTGGAAAAGGATAGTGAGAATAACAGCACAACTGGAAGAATGTAATTGCTGTCACTGAATTGTACACATAGGAACTTTTGAAATGGTGTAACTTTGGCTATGTATATTTTCACACACACAAAAAAAAAGCCCTCCAAGTTCAAGAAGGGAGAGTGTTGACATGTCGTGGGGTTGTTAGCCAATGTCATAAAACAATATGTGTACTGACTGTTTAATAAGAAACTATTTGTCCTGTAAACCTTCATCTAAAGTACAATAAAAAAAAATAATAATATGGCTACTCAGGAAGACCTTGCTCAGGTGAATTAAAATGGAGTTGTACCAAATAAAAGCCATGAAAAAAGCTCAAACGAGTGGCTGTCCTCATGTCCCCTCAAAGTCAGCTTCATTCACAATGGACGTTAATGGGGTCTATGATGAGCAAATGAGGCATTGTGGTTCAATGGTAGAATTCTTGTCCTCCATATGGGTTTGATTCCTGGCCAATGTACCTCAAGGGCAGCTACCACCTGTCTGTCAGTGGAGGCTTGCATGTTGCCATGATGCTGAGCAGGTTTCAATGGAGCTACCAGACTAAGATGGACTAGGAAGAAAAGCCTGGTGATCTACTTCCAAAAATCAGCCAATGAAAACCTTATGGATCACAATGGTCATATCTGCAACTGATCATGGGGATAACACAGGAGCAGGTAGCATTTCATTCCATTGTGCATGGGGTCACCATGAGTCAGGGACTGATGGGATGGCAGGTAACAACAACATGATGAGCAAGGTACACTCAGTTTCTATGTCTACAGGGGGTGGGAATCTCACCTGGCCCAGTCTCACAGGTGACAGGGAACTGCTTTATCAGGGGCACAGAGGTGTTGCTATAGAAGTCGGTGTCCAGGACCCACCAGTATGGGCGCTGTCCAAAGAGGATCCTGTGGAAAAGCAGAACCAGGGTCTGGAGTTATTGAATGACCCCTTTCCCCAAAGCCAGCACCTTTAAGAAGAGAGACTAGCTTGAGGTGAAGACCCACATGATCCTAAACAGAATACTGGTAGCATTGGTTGTCCCTAGGAAGGGGACCTGCGTGGCTGGGGAGGGGCATGGGAGAGAGAGTTTTCACAGTACATCCTTTATATAACCTTTGAATTTTGAACCATTTAAATGTAGTACCTATTCAAAGAGAAATAAATAAATGCAAGATCCTAAAATCCACATAAATAGTAGCTATGTGACTTTTTTTTTTTTTTAATCTGAAGGAGAAATTTGTCCTGGAAGGATGCTCTAAAGATGTGAAACTGCAGTCTGCAACTTGGGGTTGCATATGCTATGGGTTTCCTCTTCTCTTTCTTCGGGTCTTGTGACTCCTGCATCTCCTCGGACACCAGAGGATGCGCCCCAGCCCCGAGGAGAAGCCCCCCAGGAGACACGGCCTCCATCCCCATCAGGATCGCTCTCCTTAAAGACATACATAGCTTTAGAGGCTTTCTCTATGTGCTCTGAAACAGAATATCTCAGACAAACCACCTCCCTTTAAAAGTACTGAATTTGTTTTTTACTGTGGACAGGAGTCAATTGTCAGTCAGGATGCCTCCTCTACCCTGCTGTGGAGGAATAGTGAGTTCTCACCGAATTCAAGGATAGCTACTAACTCTGACCTCTACAACTCAGACAATCCAGACACGTATTCATGGTTCATTAATTGAGTTCAGATGTTTGGAATAACTTTTCTCTTTTTATTTTTTATGGTCATGCTTTTGAATAAGGGAAATTATGGACAAAATTTGGTAGCTTTGTCACCAGAGTTTCAGGAGTCCCATCAATATGCCTTTGGCTTCTGAGCCCAATAACTTTTATTGTTTATGGCCAAAGTATATTAAAGGTAGAGGGGATCTTAAGACTTACCTGATGATAGACATAGTTTTAGGGATGGGAAAGGTCTTAGAAGGCAGCTGGTCCTACTCTTTATTTTCTAGATGAGGAAATAGAGGCCAAACCAGTGACGTGCTGGAGCTGGCTGGCACTGGCTAGCAGGAGCCAGTTGTTAAGTATTCCAGATTTTTGCAGGCTGGAACCATCAGTAACTAGAAAACGGTCATAGTGGGAATATTTACACCATGGAAACTGGCAAACGCTAAAATAAGGACTTCATCCTCCCTGCACCCCTCCCCTCAGCTGGTTTACCAGCACTGCCTATAACACAGTTCTCAAGAATATTGCCTCTGAAGCCAGCTTGCCTGGCTCAGATCCTGGCTCTTCCATGAACTAACCATGTTGGTCTAGTCATTTAATTCAGTGCCTTGGTCTCCTCATCTGTAACACAGTAGTAACTACCACACAGGAAAAGCACTTCATACATGCCAGGCACATAGTAAGTATTCAATAAATGTTAACGATGATCATTATTAAAGTTCCAGAGATAACCTAAGTTTACGGGTTATAAAACGGCAACTCAGAGGGGTAATATGACTTGCCAAGGACATAGCTGGCGGTGGCAGAACAAGGGCTGGAGCCCAGTTCCCTGGATTACTGTTCATTACCCCACACAACAGGCTTTTGAATAATCTTTTTCATTCTTCGCACATCTTTCTTCTTTCATACATCTATCTTTTTGTTGCTTACTGTGCCTCAGGGTAATAAAAATGTCTTTCTTTGATTAAAGCCTGTAATTAAGACTTTTCACTAAGTCCAATGGGCCTTACACCCCGTCAATCCATCAGGCTTTCCTGCATTTTCAACTCACTGACAGCGGTTTCTCTCTCTTCCCTCTTTATGTAAATGACCCAGAGTCAAGGGGAGAGTAGCCTGTGGTCTTCCATGGGGAGAGCAGCTTCCAGGGAGAAGACCAGCCTCTTCCCTTGCTTATCTCCTCTCTGTCTGGTTCTCACTCACCACTTAAAGACAAGGTTGAGCCAGTCTCCAATCACAGCTACCCAGAGGAGTTTGATGCCCACAGCTTCTCGAAGATGGAACCAGATGGGGAAGAGGACATAGAAGGCATTCCTGAGGTCTGCAATCACGGACACCAAGATGAACCAGTCCTGGGAGTTCTGGTAATTCACCTGGAGGTAGTGCGTTGACTGGATTCCAAAGTCGTGGAGAACATTCATGCCTTCTCCCATCCTCATTCCCTTGGCACCTCAGGAAGCTGTCAGCTGATCCCTTGCAGTACTTCCAGGCTTGATGGTGATTGCTCTGCTCTCAGCCTGTGCCTTTCCCCTGTTTTATATACCCTGTATCCAGTCTACAGGTCAACCCAGCCCTGATCTTTGGACTCAAAAACCACTTTTGTCTAAAATCTATTGATCAAAGGTACATCATCAGTAGGTTGATGCAAACGTGTTCGGGGTGATTTACGTAAAATAGAAAAACAGGCACACGAAAACAGTCTGATCTGCCATGTACTCAGCAGGGCCAATTATTAACTTGGGCATGCTGCTTGACAGGGCAAGGGGCTGCCCTCCTGGTCTGCCAAACCAGGCCAGAGACCCAGGACAGAGTCTAATTCCACCATGGTTTTTGAAAAGATGTCTGGTTTCTTAAGTCTGCAGTTGCACATATTTGGACACAAAGAAAGAAAGTCTTGGTGAAAGCCCCGTGCTCTAGTTATTCAAGTTTCAAGTTATTAATTTTAAAATATAATAAGCTCTACCACACTAGGAACTGTCACCTTGCTGGTCCTTCCTTCACGTCATTAGGTTCTAGGAAATGTCTCTGGTTTAGAAGATTAAGCTGTCTTCCTAGTATTGGCCCCATATCTCTTAGGGCCAGAAAATAATCATCTTTGATGTCCTTAAAGTTAGGACCTTTGGGTTTTTAACACATAAGTTTAAGCAGTAGTATGAATGTATGTTCATGCGAATGATACAAAAGTGTAGTCCTAAATGAGAACACCACAAAATTGGTGACTGGGGACTTTGGAAGAAATGTTTGAAATTTTTAGTTATTTTTCAGAAAGGCTTCTGCATCTTGAGCTTCCTTTCAATTGTAGTTGGAGATATGTTGTTGTTGTTGTTAATTGCCTTTGAGTTGACTCTACTCATGGTGACCCCATATGCGCAGAGTAGAACTGCTCCATAGGGTTTTCAATGCTGTGACATTTTGGAAGCAGATTGCCTGACCTTTTGGCTAGTAGTCAAGCACAAGCAGTAGAGAGACCAAAGACCTCACACTCAGGTCACCTGGGACTCTGAAGGGAGTAGGGGAGTGAATCAGGGGATGAACTGATGCATTTTCAAGGATAAGAGTCAATGGGAAGAAAACTTTTTAAAATGCACCTGAACTTCCCATCAGTAAGTCCATATTGACTTGTAAGGGGTAGGCTAGGAATGGGGAAGAGAAATCCAGAGTTAATGAGTTGACAGCATTCCATGCTGGAAATGATTAAAACATCATCCATAAAATTTGGAAATGGATAATGGTGATGGTTGCACAACATGATGAATACAATGTCATCAAACTGTATATGTAAAAAAATGTTGAAATGGCAAAAGTTTTGTTACATATATATTTACCACAATTAAAAAAAAAAATCCGGGAGATATGAATGATCTGGAGTCTCATCCCCAATCCCCCATGGGCTCCAGTTCAAGCCAACTCCAGTCGCCCTTGACCACATTGTCTCTGCTGGTCCAGACAACCCTAGAGTCTCCTGCCACATCTGTGCTGGAGACTAGGTAATGGTGGTGTTGATGTTGGTGGCAAGGGGTAGGCTACAAAGGAAGCATCTGCTCCGCACTGTTGGAGGCAGAGGGAGCTTCTGCATTGTCAAGACTGCTGGGCCATAGGTAGTCAGCCCCACCAGAAGAGATGGCCCCTTCCCTCTACTCAGATAAGCTTTCCTCAAAAACATTGAGTAATTCCTCGGTGATCCCTGCGGACTGGAGTTTCTATGGTCTGAGGAGAGTTGAGGACAAATAGGGCAGATCTGGCAAAATATCCAAAGGCCACTCTGGGTCTCCACAGGGTTGCTAGGAGCCAGGGTCTCTGAGTCCGGTGGAGTTCCATCATGTGCTCAGCATATGGGGAGCAAATGGAGAGCCTTATCTTCTGAGGGAACCTCAGGTAGAAGGCTTGTGCTGATAAGGAGTCATAATGGAGTCCATAACCCATTCTGAGCAGGGAGCAGCAGTCGTGGAGTCTCTCTGGCAGGCTGTCCTCCAGGCAGGGAACCCTGTTGGACAGAGCAACTGCATATTCCAACATGAAATGATTTGCTAGTCTCCACCTTTCTATCCCCGAGCCCCTTTCTGCTTCCTCCAGCAAACTTATCATGTGCAGAAAGGGGTGAGGCCCTAAAGGATCTGCGCCTGCTAGAAAGCTGACTAAAGGGAGAAATTGTGGAGTTATCAAACGCTCAAAGGTTTTTTGATATTTGAGGTGAATATAGGGTCGCTATGAGTCAGAATCGACTCGACGGCACCTAACAACAACTACTGTGGATTAAGCGTTTGAGTTGCTGGAGGTTTTGCAGAGAATCCACACATTTACAGAACTATCTCCAGAAGGGGGGATTCCATGATCTCCCTTTAACACCTGTCGTCTTTCAAGAAGTTCTTCAGCTTAATTTAACAAACATTTACAAAGCACCATGCCTGGCTCTCGGAGGAGTTCAAAGTTAAATCACAGTGGTCCTCTAGGACCTTGACAGTCTAGTGGGGAGGTGTGGCCCGGCATATACACAACTATGTAAACTGAGGGAATCCTTAGATACAGACTGAACCTCATTTGTGCAAATGTCAGTGAGCTCCATATTATTTTGTTCTCAGAGGAGATGTTCAAGACTTATTAATGCCCTCTGGGGAAATGACCAGCCTAGTCTAGGATGCAATTAGAATGAAAAATTAAACGGGCACCTTTTCATCAGGTCCTCTAGCTGGGCACTCCTCGCTTACTCTTCTCCACAAAGAGAAATTCAGAGGCTTCAGATCTTGATTTGGGAAGAACATGAAGGATGGGTGCCAGAAAGTATGGTCTGGTCTGCTGTTAAACAAGTGCAGCTGGTTCCAGAACACCTTCTTCTCCCAGAGCAGGTTGACACATTCACTCAAACAAGCTTACCTGCCAACAGGAAAGCAAAGAGGGGAAACAGTCATAATGTATCAAACCGCTCAATAAAAAATTTGTGTTTATTACCAAAAAGAAATTCTGAGTTTACTTGCAGCCTAATCCTCTATTCTGGCTGGGACCCTGGGTTCTATTGAGAGAGGAGCTACCTTTACATTTGCTCAGTTGTTACCACTAGAAATGGATATTGTCTGCACATCGTAACAGGGATGCAAAAACCTAGTTTCAATACAGATCTTTGTCTGAGTACCAGGGGTGATTTCTCTGAAGGGTTATAGCCCAAACTGTAAGGTATACAGTTTTGCTTTTTAAAAATTTCTTTATTTTAGGGGGGTGCTTTTTTTTTTGTTCTACTGGGAGACCAATGAGGGAAATGTTTAGCGGTAGACCGTAGAAACTGGCTGAATCAATGGCTGTCACCTTCTAAGTGAGTGACCCAGATAATTTTTTACAAAAACATTTTGGGAAAAACAGGTGGAGGGAGAGGTGGATTAATCATTGTTAGCCAGTGAAAATGGCTGACTTATCTCTGGCAAGGTGAGAAAGTTCAGCCTCAGGACCTTGAACTGTCCATCTGTTGACCAGGTGGGGGAAGCATGGTGTGTGTCTCAGCCACCTAGGTTGGGCTGGACACTTTGCTCACAGAAAAATACCTGAAGGCATTTGCTTCATTATAAACAGTGAAAAACTCCCTGCTCACTACCCACCCCAGGGACCAGCTTCTACCAAAATCAAATAAATCACCAGAACCTTGATGGGAATCTCCCTTTCCTACCTCCTCCTCATCCCCTGCCCAAAAGAAGCTATTGTTCCTTCCAGAGAATATCCTATTTCCACAAACGTTCAATCAGTTCCCTCACAAACAGATGGCAAACAATTCTCCACTTCTCAGCCAATCCTTTGCCAATGCCAAATGACCCTAGCAGTTAGGAAACACTCTTGTTGTCAACTTGGAACCTTCCTCCTGGGAGTTAAACCTTGTTGATGGTGTACTGCAGAGGCAGAGTAGACAGCACTACTTGGAAAAGGCTCGTTTTCCCCTTTGTCCTGGTCTGTTCCCTCGAGGCAAGGAAGGGCTATTTGAGGAGACAAGGGAAGTGTGACCAGAGCTTAGGATCCAGACCAAACCTGTTGTCCCTCCTTGCTTCAGTTCATGGATTCTTTGGGAGAATTGAGATCAACCAAAGAACCAAGTTATCAGTCGCCAGTCGCGATAGCTCAGCCCTGAATAAATCCTTAGCATGATGGGGGATGGGAGTGAGGAGGGAATATGAGGGGGAGGGGTGGGAGTGGGGCAAAAGGAGCTCCTCGGTTTCCTTAGAAGATTCTCAGAAACACTCAGGCCTCCTGCAGCCAGCCCAAGAGAATGCCCCTTTCCCACTGCCATCTCCAGGATTAAAAAATGAAAATAAAAAAGAACAAATAGAAAGATTAAAGTGCTGTGCAACTTTGGCCAATTCACTGGCAGTCTCTGGGTTTTAGTTCAACTGTAAAATCAGACTTGTGACCCTTACCTGCCTTTTACCCTTCACATTCTCTGAGTCTGTGCTGCTGCTTTGAAAGTAGCTCCAAAGAGGTGTTGCCTGGTTTTGAATTATCTTACAGAAGTCAGTAATTAATTATTGCCTGAAGGAAAAGATAAACAGGGTTATATATTTTTTAATTAAAATATTTTTGAAAGTAATGCATTCACATGGCTTTAAAAAAATGCAGAGTTTGAAAGATATCCAGTGAAAGTCTGTCTTCCTCCCATCCATGGGGTACTTTCTAAATAGTGAGCCGGAAACCAGCCTGACCTGAGGTGCACAGGGAGTCAGAGAAATCTCCACATTCTTTCCTCTTTTTATCACGAATGGATATTGAATTGCTACTGTCTCCCTTATGCTTCTTTTACCAACTTATGGCGACTCCATGTGTGTCAGAGTAGAACTGTGCTCCATAGGGTTTTCAATGGCTGATTTTTCAGAAGAAGATCCCCAGAACTTTCCTCCGAGGTACCCCTGGGTAGGCTCAAATCTCCAACCTTTTGATTAGTAGCCAATCGTGTTAACTGTTTGTACCACCCAGGGACTCCAAGCTCCATATTCTTACATGAAAGTCGCCTCCCTAGGTAGAGTCTGAGATCTAGGTGGGATACAGATTAGGGGTCATCCTTCCACCCATTTCTTTCCCATTCATTTTCTTCTCCCCAGCTCTGCCCTTGTAGTCCTTTCAATCAACTCTTTTATTTAAGAGATGGGAGATTTCATCCCA